TTTGGTTTGACCAAAACCCTTTTAATGAACATTATTTTCCCCTAACGGGCCTTTTTGCCTTGAGAAATGGGCGCGCATTTAGAAGCTAAGGAAATTTTCTTGGGTAGCCGTGTGAGATCTTTGCTGGAGTGATTCCTCAATGTTTCATGATATTGCAACTCCACGAGGTGAGATTTGCATGGAGCCCCCAGGCCGAGGGAGATTGACAGTTATTTTGTGTTTCTTCCATTTGCAAAATAATCGCACCAAATGTTGTCACCTTCTCACCAAGCTGCTTGACGATGGTCTTGTAGCCCATTCCAGCCTTGTGTAGGTCTACAATCTTGTCCATGACATCCTCTTTGGTCTTGGCCATGGTGGATAGTTGGAATCTGATGATTGCTTCTGTGGACCAGGTATCTTTTATACAGGTAACAAGCTGAGATTAGGAGCACTCCCTTTAAGAGTGTGCTCCTAATCTCAGCTCGTTACCTGTATAAAAGACACCTGGGAGCCAGAAAATCTTTCTGATTGAGAGGGGGTCAAATTTTAAATTAAAATTATAGACTGATCATTTCTTTGTCAGTGGCAAACGTACAAAATCAGCCAGGGTAATCCAAATACTTTTTTCCCTCACTGTATCATGCACATGTTTTTGTTTCTTCTATCCTCGTTAAAATAGATTTTCAAATTGCGTATTTCTCCTAACCCCCTAACCCTAACCCCCTTACCCTAACTCCTTAACCCCTAAGCTTAAAATAGCCTTTTTCCTCATGGGGAGGTGGGAAAAATGTCCCCCACCACCACAAGGACAATTTCCTTGTTTGTTACTATGCCTGGTAGGAACCTTAGGTCAACACACACACATTTACAAGTTGTGGTTAGCCGTGACCAGACCCGGGTCTTGACCTTGACAACCATAGGACTGGTATATACCTTTAGAGAGAGAAAGCAGAGAGAGAGGAGAAGAGAGAGAGAGAGAGAATGAAGAGAGAGACGAGGAGATGGAGAGGACGAGAGAAAGAGAGAGGAGAGACAGAGAGAGACGATAGAGAGCGGGAGAGAGGAGAGAGAGAGAGCGAGAGAGAGCGAGAGAGAGAGAGAGTCGCGAGAGGAGCCAGAGAGGGAGTCCTCTTCTTCACTCTCGAGATCTCATCTCTCTCTGACGCTCTCTAGATCTCTGTCTCTCGCTCTCTCTCGTCTCTTCTCTTCTCTTCTCTCTCTCTCTCTCTCCCTCTCTCTCTCTCTCTCTCTCTCTATCTCTCTCTCTCTTCCCATCTCTCCCTCCCAGTTTCTCTCTCTCTCTCTCATTCATTCTGTACTGGCCCACACTTGATTGGTATGCAACCTTTACCCCACTTCCCTAGGCCCCTCCCCTTTATGTCTGTCTGTATCAATTTCAATTTAAGGGCTTTATTGGCATGGGAAATGTATGTGAACATTGCCAAAGCAAGTGAAGTAGATAGTAAACAAAAGTGAAATAAACAATAAATATTAACAGTAAACATTACACTCAGAAGTTCCAAAAGAATAAAGACATTTCAAATGTCATATTATGTATATATACAGTGTTGTAACAAAGTACAAAAGGGAAAATAAATAAACATAAATATAGGTTGTATTTACAATGGTGTTTGTTCTTCACTGGTTGCCCTTTTCTTGTGGCAACAGGTCACACATATTGCTGCTGTGATGGCACACTGTGGTATTTCACCCAGTAGATAAGGGAGTTTATCAAAATTGGGTTTGTTTTCGAATTCTTTGTGGATCGCAGGAGGTTAGGAAGTGCAGCTCAGTTTCTACCTCATTTTGTGGGCAGTGTGCACATAGCCTGTCTTCTCTTGAGAGCCAGGTCTGCCTATGGTGGCCTTTCTCAATAGCAAGGCTATGCTCACTGAGTCTGTACATAGTCAAAGCTTTCCTTAAGTTTGGGTCAGTCACAGTGGTCAGGTATTCTGCCACTGTGTACTCTCTGTTTAGGGCCAAATAGCATTCTAGTTTGCTCTGTTTTTTTGTAAATTCTCTCCAATGTGTCAAGTAATTATCTTTTTGTTCTCATGATTTGGTTGGGTCTAATTGTGTTGCTGTCCTGGGGCTCCGTGGGGTCTATTTCTGTTTGTGAACAGCTTGTCTCTCTCGGTCTCCCGCTCTCTCGCTCAATCTCTCTCTCCCCTCTGTTTGTATTTCCGTATTTTTCTGCCTGCCTATCCCCCCCCCACCCCAAATCTCTTCCTGTATCTCTCTCTCTCTCCCCTCCCTCTCGCTGTCTGTATTTCTGTATTTTTCTGCCTGCCTATTCCCCCCCCCCCCCCCCCCACCCCCAAATCTCTTCCTGTATCTCTCTCTCTCTCCCCTCTGTCTGTATTTCCGTATTTTTCTGCCTGCCTATCCCCCCCCACCCCAAATCTCTTCCTGTATCTCTCTCTCTCCCCTCCCTCTCTCTGTCTGTATTTCTGTATGTTTACCCTAGATGCCCCTCCCTCCCTACACACACAAACACACACATGGGTTCTCAGTGTTTGTATAGTGTTATCTAAAGGACAAACACACACTGACTTCAAACAAGCATTCAGACTGGACCAGTTCTCTGTGTGTGTGTCTGTGTGTGTGTGTCTGTGTGTGTGTCTGTGTCTGTGTCTGTGTGTGTGTGGGTGTACCCTCTTCACCCTCAGAATATGTCATGTAGTGGGTTTGAGTTCAACACACACACAGAGACACACAGACACACAGAGACAGACACATAGACACAGAGACACACAGAGACACAGAGACACACAGACACACACACAGACACAGACATACAGACAGACACAGAACACAGAGACACACAGAGGACACACAGAGAGACACACAGAGAGACACACAGAGAGACACACACACACAGACACAGACACACAGACAGACAACACGAGACACAACACACCACAGACACACAGCACACGAAGACGACACACAGACCACACACAGACACACAACAACACCAGACAGACAGACACACAGACACACACAGACACACAGACACAAGACCACACAGACACAACACAGAACACACACTGAGACACACAGACACACGAAGACAAAACAGACACGACACAGACGACAGACCACCGACGACACAGACGACAGACAGACAGACAGACAGACAGACAGACAGACAGACAGACAGACACATAGACACATAGACACCCACAGACACACATACCCACAGACAGACCCACCGACAGACACACCGACAGACACATAGACACAGAGACACACAGACAGACAGAACAGACGGACAGACAGACACAGAGACACACAGACACTCAGACAGAAACACACAGACACACAGACAGACACACAGACAGACACACAGACACACAGAACAGACACACAGACACACAGACAGACACACAGACATAAAGACACACAGACACTCAGACAGAAACACACAGACACACAGACAGACACACAGACAGACACACAGAGACACACAGACAGACAGACACACAGACACAGACACACACAGAGACACAAAGACACAGAGACACACAGACACACACAGACACAGACATACACACAGACATACACGCACACGCAAACGCAAACGCAAACGCACACACACACACACACACAAACACAAACACACACTGACAATTGGATCTGTGACTACGAATTAATCATTCAATTCAATGATAATAAGTCACTATGACTCATAATGTGATATACTTGTCTGAGTGAGTAAGAGTCTGAAAAGGTAGAATAATAACATGAAAATGTGTGTGTGTGTTAACTTTGTGATTAACATCTTACAACTGCTGTAATAACCATTCCCCTCCCTCCCTCCAGATAGACTATTCTATATCTATACCTCTGGTACAACAGGAATGCCTAAGGCTGCTATTGTGGTGCATAGTAGGTGAGTGACACCTAGTGTGTTCTAGTGAGTGACACCTAGTGTTCTAGAATGGTGTTAGTGTGTTCTAGTGTGTTCTAGAATGGTGTTAGTGTGTTCTAGTGTGTTCTAGAATGGTGTTAGTGTGTTCTAGTGTGTTCTAGAATGGTGTTAGTGTGTTCTAGTGTGTTCTAGAATGGTGTAAGTGTGTTCTAGTGTGTTCTAGAATGGTGTTAGTGTGTTCTAGAGTGTTCTAGAATGGTGTTAGTGTGTTCTAGAAATGTGTGTAGTTTGTTCTAGAATGGTTCTAGATTGTTCTGTGTGTATGTTATCAGGTACTATCGCATCGCTGCCTTTGGGTTCCATTCCTTCGGCCTGCGTCACGATGACATAATCTACAACTGTTTGCCTCTCTACCACTCCGCTGGTATGTACTCATCATGTGTGTGTGTCATAGGATCTTGGAGTATTATTACAACATGCTCATAGCAACAGAGAACAGCTATAGAGTTACAGTAGCAAGCTCTTGCATGTCATCCTCTACCCCCCCCCCCCCATCTCTATCTGTCTCTGTCTCTGTGTGTGTGTGTGTGTGTGTGTGTGTGTGTGTGTGTGTGTGTGTGTGTGTGTGTGTGTGTGTGTGTGTGTGTGTGTGTGTGTGTGTGACCTCTCTCTAGGTAACATTATGGGTGTGGGACAGTGTCTGCTCCATGGGTTAACTGTTGTAGTGAGGAGTAAATTCTCTGCTAGCCGTTTCTGGGACGACTGTGTCAAGTACAACTGCACGGTGAGTTTATCAGCCAATCACACACAACAACAATGGGAGGTCTGAGACCTTGAACCCAACTGAGGTGAATGAGCCGTTCAGACAGGGTTTTGTTTAATAGGTTGTTTTTCTGTTGTTGATGTAACATAATTGTTTTGTTAAAGGTCCAATTCAGCCATTTTTCTCAATATCAAATCATTTCTGGGTAACAATTTTCAATTAAAATGGTCAAAAAGGAACAAAAATAGCTTCTTAGCAAAGGGAACTTTCTCAAGCAAGAACTTTGCTAGGACTGTCTGGGAGTGGTCTGAGTGGGGAGGGGAAAACTGAAAACGTGCTGTTATTGGCAGAGAGGTTTGGAACTCTCTTTCTTATTGGTCTATTAACTAATTTACCGCATGGTGATGTCACCAGGCAGGCCAAAACTCCATCCCACTAAAACAAGCTGATATTTCAGCCAGTCTTTTCAAACAGCTCTTACACTAAAAGGGCATTATCACAATTTCACAGTATTATTCCAACTTTATAGTGTGGAAATATAAAACACAGGAAAATCACGTTTTTGACTGCACTGGGCCTTTAATACCAGTCAGTGGTTGGGGTCGTGTATAGCACTTTGTGACATCTGCTGATGTAAAAAGGGCTTTATCAATACATTTGATTGATTGATTTATAGTGGGGTGGCGGGAGAATTACAATAATCTGTATTCTTAATTTTTGCATCGGACAATATACAAAGTTTCTTGAAAGATAATTAGAAAAATACAATTTTATTGAGTAAATTTATTTATTGGTTATCTTAATTTTGAAAAGAGAGAACCTTCAATTTATTACATTTTTATTTGTATATATATATATATATATATATATATATATATATATATATATGTATGAGCGAGAGATTTAAGGTTGTCATTAGATTTGGGGTTTGGGGTGAAAAAAATGGGGTCCCCGCTGAAAAGGTTTGAATACCACTGCTCCAAGTGTATCCTTTTGCCACAAGATGGTGGGGTTGTGCAAGAGATTTGTGCCCACTTCAATTCTACTTTGTGTGTGTATGCATATATACTGAGTGTACAAAACATTAAGAACCCTTTCCATGACATAGATTGACCAGGTGAAAGCTATGATCCCTTATTGATGTCACTTGTTAAATCCACTTAGATCAGTGTAGATGAAGGGGAGGAGACAGGTTAAAGAAGGATTTTTAAGCCTTGAGACAATTGAGACATGGATTGTGTACGTGTGCCATTCAGAGGGTGAATTAGCAAGACAAAAGATTGAAGTGCCTTTGAACGGGGTATGGTAGTAGGTGCCAGGCGCACCGGTTTGTGTCAAGAACTGCAACGTTGCTGGGTTTTGCACGCTCAACAGTTTCCTGTGTGCATCACGAATGGTCCACCACCCAAAGGACATCCATCCAACTTGACACAACTATGGGAAGCATAGTCCATGCCCCGACAAATTGAGGCTATTCTGAGGGCAAAAGGGGAGGGTGCGGGGCGACTCAATATTAGATGTTCTTAATGTTTGGTATACTCAGTGTATGTGTGTTTGTGTGTGTATCAGTGGAGGCTGGTGGGAGGAGCTATAGGAGGACGGGCTCATTGTAATGGCTGTAATGAATTAAATGAACGGAGTCAAACATGTTTGTGTTTGATACCGTTCCATTAATTCCATTCCAGCCGTTACAATGACCCCGTCCTCCTATAGCTCCTCCCACCAGGGTGTTTCTCTCCATCTACAGGTGGTTCAGTATATAGGTGAGATGTGCAGGTACCTGTTGGCCCAGCCAGAACGTCCCCCCCAGGTGTGTCACCGTGTGCGTGTTGCCGTGGGTAACGGGCTCCGCCCCGCCGTGTGGGAGGAGCGCTTCAGGATTCACCAGGTGGCAGAGTTCTACGGCGCCACCGAGTGTAACTGTAGCATCGCAAATATGGACGGAAAGGTGTGTGTGGGGGGGGGAGTGTGTGTGTGTGTTCTTATGTTATGTCATGTCATTATTATCTGTGATGTAAATGTAATGGTGTGTTGTGTGTTTCGGCATGTGGCCCTCTGTGCGTTCATGGGTGTGTGTCCATGACCGTCCATCCATGTGTGTGTGTCCGTCCGTGTGTGTGTGTGTGGGTGTGTGTGTGTGTGTGTGTCCGTCCGTGTGTGTGTGTGTGTGCCAGGTGGGTGCGTGTGGGTTCAACAGTCGCATCCTGCCCAGTGTGTACCCCATCAGACTGATTCAGGTGAACGAGGGGACGGTGGAGCTAGTACGGGACAGACACGGGCTCTGTATACCCTGTCAACCTGGTGAGAACACACACTATCTATCTATCTATCTGTCTGTCTGTCTGTCTGTCTGTCTGCAGTGCATTCGGAAAGTATTCAGACCCCTTGACTTTTTCCACATTTTGTTACGTTACAGCCTTATTCTAAAATGGATTCAATCGTTTTTTCCCCTCATCAATCTACACACAATACCCCATAATGGGTTTTTATAAATGTTTGCAAATGTATTACAAATAAAAAACTGAAATAGAACATTTACATAAGTATTCAGACACTTTACTCAGTACTTTGTTGAAACACCTTTGGCAGCAATTACAGCCTCGAGTCTTGGGTATGACGCTACAAGCTTGGCACACTGTTACGCACGTTGACTGATGACTCGTGGAACCAAGGCGCAGCGTGATAAGCGTACATCTTTAATTAGTACTTAACACACGAACAAAACCAAAACAACAAACCAACGATACGTGAAGTCCTGAGGTTACACACACCAAACCTTTACGGATCAAGATCCCACCAACTAACTGGTGCCAACAGGCTGCCTAAGTATGGTCCCCAATCAGAGACAACGAGCTACAGCTGTCTCTGATTGGGAACCACCCTGGCCAACATAGATCAACACGATCTAGAACAAAAACATAGAAAACTAAACAATGAAAATCCACACCCTGGCTCAACATTTAAGAGTCCCCAGAGCCAGGGCGTGACAGTACCCCCCCCCCCAAAGGCGCGGACTGCGACCGCGCTACACAAACACAAGAGGGTAGGGGCCGGGTGGGCATTCCGCCTCGGAGGCGGATCCGGCTCCGGGCATGACCACCACCTTTTCTCCACCTCCCCGTTGCGCCCCTGGTCTGGTCTGGCCCCGCTGACTGGAGCTGGACTCGACGACGGTGGACCAAACCTTACCAGCTCCGGACTGGAGCCGCTGGCCGGAGCTGGACTGGACACCGGTGGAGCGGATTGCTCTGACTCCGGAGTGGAGCAGCTGACCGGTGCCGGACCAGGCACCGGTGGAACAGGCACGGGCCATGCCGGACTGGACACACGCACCACTGGCTTGGCGCGGGGAGCAGGAATGGGCTGGACCGGGCTGACGACGCGCACCACTGGCTTGGTGCGGGGAGCAGGAACGGGCCGGACCGGGCTGACGACGCGCACCACTGGCTTGGTGCGGGGAGCAGGACCAGGCCGGACCGGGCTGGCGACGCGCACCACTGGCTTGGTGCGAGGGACAGGAACAGGCCGGGCTGGACTGGGAACATGCACCACTGGCTTGGTGCGGGGAGCAGGAACAGGCCGGGCTGGACTGGGAACACGCACCACTGGCTTGGTGCGGGGAGCAGGAACGGGCCGGACCGGGCTGACGACGCGCACCACTGGCTTGGTGCGGGGAGCAGGACCAGGCTGGACCGGGCTGGCGACGCGCACCACTGGCTTGGTGCGAGGGGCAGGAACAGGCCGGACCGGGCTGGCGACGCGCACCACTGGCTTGGTGCGCGGGACAGGAACAGGCCGGGCTGGACTGGGAACACGCACCACTGGCTTGGTGCGGGAAGCAGGAACAGGCCGGGCTGGACTGGGAACACGCACCACTGGCTTGATGCGGGGAACCGGAACGGGCCGGGCCGGACTGTGGAGGCGGACTGGAGGTCTGGAGCGGAGAGCTGACACAACCCGTCCTGGCTGAATGCCTATTTCCACACAATATGTGTGAGGCATCAGCACAGGACGTACAGGGCTGTGCACTCGTACTGGCGCTACAGCACGTGGCACTGGCGCAGGATATACGGGACCGAGGAGGCGTACTGGAGGCCACGAGCGTTGAGCTGGCACACCCCGTCCTGGCTGCATGCCCATCTTAGCACGACACGTGCGTGGTGCTAGCACCGGACGTACAGGACTGTGCCGGAACACTCGCGGCACAGTACGTGGCTCCGCATAACACGGAGCCTGCTCAGTCTCACGCTTCCTAGCCTGAGTACGGGGAGTTGGCTCTGCTCTAACTCTAGGCTCCGCCAACCACCCTTTTAGCCCCCCCAAAAAAAAATATTGGGGCTGTCTCTCGGGCTTCCTCCTCGGCCGGTACCCTCTGCGTTGCCGCTGCTCCTCTCTGTAGCGCGCCTCCACAGTCTCCTCCCAAGGACGGCGATCCATTCCGGCCTGAATCTCTTCCCAAGTCCAGGATCCCTTCCCGTCCAGGATCTCCTCCCAAGTCCAGGCTGTCTGTTCCTGGACACGCTGCTTGGTCCTCTTAAGGTGGGATCTTCTGTCACGCACGTTGACTGATGACTCGTGGAACCAAGGCGCAGCGTGATAAGCGTACATCTTTAATTAGTACTTAACACACGAACAAAACCAAAACAACAAACCAACGATACGTGAAGTCCTGAGGTTACACACACCAAACCTTTACGGATCAAGATCCCACAAACTAACTGGTGCCAACAGGCTGCCTAAGTATGGTCCCCAATCAGAGACAACGAGCTACAGCTGTCTCTGATTGGGAACCACCCTGGCCAACATAGATCAACACGATCTAGAACAAAAACATAGAAAACTAAACAATGAAAATCCACACCCTGGCTCAACATTTAAGAGCCCCCAGAGCCAGGGCATGACACACACCTGTATTTGGGGAGTTTCTCCCATTATTTTCTGCAGATCCTCAAGCTCTGTCAGGTTGGATGGGGAGCGTTGCTGCACAGCTATTTTCAGGTCTCTCCAGAGATGTTCAATCGGGTTCAAGTCCGGGATCTGGCTGGGCCACTCAAGGACATTGAGACTTTTCCCGAAGCCACTCCTGCGTTGTCTTGGCTGTGTGCTTAGGGTCATTGTCCTGTTGGAAGGTGAACTGTCACCCCAGTCTGAGGTCCTCAGCGCTCTGGAGCAGGTTTTCATCAAGGATCTCTCTGTACTTTGCTCCATTCATCTTTCCCTCGATATTGACTTGTCTGCCACTGCAAAACATCCCCGCAGCATGATGCTGCCACCACCATGCTTCACCGTAGGGATAGTGCCAGGTTTCCTCCAGACGTGACGCTTGGCATTCAGGCCAAAGAGTTCCATCTTGGTTTCATCAGACCAGAGAATCTTGTTTCTCATGGTCTGAGAGTCTTTACGTGCCTTTTGGCAAACTCCAAGCGGGCTGTCATGTGCCTTTTACTGAGGAGTGGCTTCCGTCGGGCCACTCTACCATAAAGGCCTGATTGGTGGAGTGCTGCAGAGATGGTTGTCCTTCTGGAAGGTTCTCCCATCTCCACAGAGGAACTTTAGAGCTCTGTGAGAGTGACCATCGGGTTCTTGGTCACCTCCCTGACCAAGGCCCTTCTCCCCCGATTGCTCAGTTTGGCCGGGAGGCCAGCTCTATGAAGAATCTTGGTGGTTCCAAACTTCTTCCATTTAAGAATGATGGAGGCCATTGTTCTTGGGGAACTTCAATGCTGCAGAATTTTTTTTGGTACCCTTCCCCAGATCTGTGCCTCGACACAATCCTGTCTTGGAGCACTACGGACAATTCCTTCGACCTCATGGCTTGGTTTTTTCTCTGACATATACTGTCAACTGTGGGACCTTATATAGACAGGTGTGTGCCTTTTCCAAATCATGTCCAATCAATTGAATTTACCACAGTTGGAAACATCTCAAGGATGATCAATGGAAACAGGATGCATTTGAGCTCAATTTCGAGTCTCATAGCAAAAGCTCTGAATACTTATGTAAATAAGGTATTTCTGTTTTTCATTTTTAATAAATTTGCAAATAATATATACATTTTTTTATGAGGACATTTTAGAATAAGGCTGTAAACATAACAACATTTTGAAAAAGGGAAGGGGACTGAATACTTTCTGAATGCTCTGTATCTAACTCTATACCCCCCCCAGGTGAACCAGGTCTCCTGGTTGGTTGTATAAACCAGAATGATCCTTTGAGGAGGTTTGATGGTTATGCCGACCAGAGCGCCACCAATTAGCTCACAACGTCTTCAGGAAGGGAGACATGGCATATCTCTCAGGTAGATACATCTCCTCTTTAGATACATAGAGATACATCTCCTCTTTAGATACACAGAGATACATCTCCTCTTTAGATACACAGAGATACATCTCCTCTTTAGAGACATAGAGATACATCTCCTCTTTAGAGACATAGAGATACATCTCCTCTTTAGAGATATAGAGATACATCTCCACTTTAGATACACAGAGATACATCTCCTCTTTAGAGACATAGAGATACATCTCCTCTTTAGAGACACAGAGATATATCTCCTCTTTAGATACATCGAGATACATCTCCTCTTTAGATACACAGAGATACATCTCCTCCTTTCTCTTCTCCCCTCTCTCTTTTTTCTCTTTTTCTGTGTCACTCTCCATCTCGTTCCCTCTTGCGGTCTCTCTCTCAAACTAACGCTCCATCTCAAAGTGTAGAGTTGCAGGAGATGAGCTTTAAAACTTCACAATGTTCTCTCTGCCGCATGGCAAAATGTGTAGCATTGTAGGAGATGAGCATTAAAACAGCAAAATCTTCTCTCCACCAACAAGAGTGGTGTGAACAGTTTGGGGTTCAATCTGAACCTTTGCCACCTAGGACATTTGTATGACCGGACCACTTGAGGACCCCTGTGTAATAGAGACCAGTACTGGAGGTACTGTTGGAGGTTTCAGTGAGGAGGTAGACAAATGGACCCAGTGCATTGCCCGTGGTGAGGGCTTTTAATGGGGAAATCACAGTGCCATGCTATATACACTGCTCAAAAAAATAAAGGGAACACTTAAACAACACAATGTAACTCCAAGTCAATCACACTTCTGTGAAATCAATCTGTCCACTTAGGAAGCAACACTGATTGACAATACATTTCACATGCTGTTGTGCAAATGGAATAGACAACAGGTGGAAATTATAGGCAATTAGCAAGACACCCCCAATAAAGGACTGGTATTGCAGGTGGTGACCACAGACCACTTCTCAGTTCCTATGCTTCCTGGCTGATGTTTTGGTCACTTTTGAATGCTGGCGGTGCTTTCACTCTAGTGGTAGCATGAGACGGAGTCTACAACCCACACAAGTGGCTCAGGTAGTGCAGCTCATCCAGGATGGCACATCAATGCGAGCTGTGGCAAGAAGGTTTGCGGTGTCTGTCAGCGTAGTGTCCAGAGCATGGAGGCGCTACCAGGAGACAGGCCAGTACATCAGGAGACGTGGACGAGGCCGTAGGAGGGCAACAACCCAGCAGCAGGACTGCTACCTCCGCCTTTGTGCAAGGAGGAGCAGGAGGAGCACTGCCAGAGCCCTGCAAAATGACCTCCAGCAGGCCACAAATGTGAATGTGTCTGCTCAAACGGTCAGAAACAGACTCCATGAGGGTGGTATGAGGGCCCGACGTCCACAGGTGGGGGTTGTGCTTACAGCCCAACACCGTGCAGGACGTTTGGCATTTGCCAGAGAACACCAAGATTGGCAAATTTGCCACTCTTCACAGATGAAAGCAGGTTCACACTGAGCACATGTGACAGACGTGACAGAGTCTGGAGACGCCGTGGAGAACGTTCTGCTGCCTGCAACATCCTCCAGCATGACCGGTTTGGCGGTGGGTCAGTCATGGTGTGGGGTGGCATTTCTTTGGGAGGGCGCACAGCCCTCCATGTGCTCGCTAGAGGTAGCCTGACTGCCATTAGGTACCGAGATGAGATCCTCAGACCCCTTGTGAGACCATATGCTGGTGCGGTTGGCCCTGGGTTCCTCCTAATGCAAGACAATGCTAGACCTCATGTGGCTGGAGTGTGTCAGCAGTTCCTGCAAGAGGAAGGCATTGATGCTATGGACTGGCCCGCCCGTTCCCCAGACCTTAATCCAATTGAGCACATCTGGGACATCATGTCTCGCTCCATCCACCAACGCCACGTTGCACCACAGACTGTCCAGGAGTTGGCGGATGCTTTAGTCCAGGTCTGGGAGGAGATCCCTCAGGAGACCATCCGCCACCTCATCAGGAGCATGCCCAGGCGTTGTAGGGAGGTCATACAGGCACGTGGAGGCCACACACACTACTGAGCCTAATTTTGACTTGTTTTAAGGACATTACATCAAAGTTGGATCAGCCTGTAGTGTGGTTTTCCACTTTAATTTTGAGGGTGACTCCAAATCCAGACCTCCATGGGTTGATACATTTGATTTCCATTGATAATTTTTGTTTTTTTGAGCAGTGTACAATAACAAACATAAACCATGACTGAACAGGAAAACTGGGGATGAATGAATACATCCAATAATTACTGAGCTCTCAAATGAACCAGGCTTGAACCATGCCTGTAGCAACCTGTCCCCCTGGGAATGGCCAACAATAACATAACCCAACAACAGGATAAATCGTGCTTCAGACCACGGACCTCGTTTGACAATTGGCACCCCCTAACGCAGCAGGAAGAAATAATTCACCTCTTCAATAAATGAGGAAGTAAACAGGGAAGTTTGTAACATATATATATTCCAGTAGAAATAGTGGTCAATACGATGTGCACTTTGGAAGGCAAACTGACGAAAAGACATGAATGGAAAGACTAAATAACACACCACAGAAGGACATTACATCATAGACACATGACATCATAAACACATGACATCATAAACACATGACATCAGAAACACATGACATCGTAGACACATGACATCATAAACACATGACATCATAAACACATGACATCATAGACATATTCAATAAACTGCCTTTTCAGAAAGCCAGAAATCGTTTCGGTGTCTGGGGCTATTAAACAGTAAGGTATCAGACTGACACCAGCTCCATGACACCCTCCTCTACATCTTCACACATAATGTTGGTTTTCTGTACTGAATTAAACCTCTCTATCCCACCTTCACCTGTCCCCACAACAGGAGGTTGGTGGCACCTTAATTGGGGAGGACGGGCTCATGGTAATGACTGGAGCAGAATCAGTGGAATGGTATCAAATACATCAAACACATGGTGTCAAGGTGTTTGATGCCATTCCATTTGCTCCATTCCAGCCAATATTATGAGCCGTCCTCCCCTCAGCAGCCTCCACTGGTCCCCACACATCTCTCTCCTCCCTCTCCCATCCCTCCTCTCTCCCCTCCCTCTCTCCTCCCTCTCCCCTCTCTCTCTCCCTCTCTCCCCTCTCTCTCTCCCTTTCTCCCCTCTCTCCCCTCCCTCCTCTCTCCTCTCTCCTCTCTCTAGGTGATGTGTTGATGATGGATGATCTGGGTTATATTTACTTCTGGGGCCGTAGTGGAGAGGGTTACACATCTCACGTATAAACACTCTTTCTGCCCCCCCACCTCTTCTCTTTCTCTGTCTCTCTCTCGCTCTCTCTCTCTCTCTCTCTCTCTCTCTCTCTCTCTCTCTCTCTCTCTCTCTCCCTCCCTCTAGGTGATGTGTTGGTGATGGATGATTTGGGGTACATGTATTTCCGGGACCGTAGTGGAGACACGTATCGCTGGAGAGGAGAGAACGTCTCGACTACGGAGGTCGAGGCAACACTCAGCGGTCTGCTGGGACAGACTGACGTAGCAGTCTATGGAGTCACTCTGCCAAGTAATGCACATGACATAGGTGTCTATGTAGTGCCTGTGTCAGGTTATATACATGACATATGGTCTATGTAGTGCCTGTGTCAGGTTATATACATGACATATGGTCTATGTAGTGCCTGTGTCAGGTTATATACATGACATATGGTCTATGTAGTGCCTGTGTCAGGTTATATACATGACATATGGTCTATGTAGTGCCTGTGTCAGGTTATATACATAGTATAGTTAAAACAAGACAGTCCCTGTACTTTATATACTACCAGGCTATATACTAAATATGACAAAGAAACATGACAATGAAGTCCCTTTGCCAGGTAATAAACATGAGATGGTAAAAAAAAAGACACTATACTGACCTCTTTTAAAATGTACCTGTGTCTGTCTACAGGTGTGGAGGGAAAGGCTGGGATGGCAGCCATTGCTGAGGGTGCGGATCAGTTTGACTTTGGTGTGTTCTTAGGGGCGGTGCAGAAAGCCCTGCCTCCCTACGCACGCCCACTCTTCCTCCGGCTCCTTCCCCAGGTCGACACCACAGGTGAGACGGGCGCACGCAACATGCAGTCCAATGGACACACACACACACACACACACACTTCCTCATTCCCCCCCCCCCCCCTCTCTCTTTAGGCACCTTCAAAATCCAGAAGACCCGTCTGCAGAAGGAGGGATACGACCCTCGGCACTCTGCTGACCGGATCTACTTCCTCAACAGCCGTGCAGGATGTTATGAGGTTGTTACTGAGGAGTTGTATATTGCCATTACAGAGGGAAGAATGTCTCTATGAGAGGGAGGGAGGGAGGGAGGGAGGGAGGGAGGGAGGGAGGGAGGGAGGGAGGGAGGGAGGGAGGGAGGGAGGGAGTAGTGAACTTTTGGGGAGAGGGGATATACTGAACACCATGACTCAGGATGGTCTTCGTTGCTATGGCAATAGTGAGACCAGATTGTGATGTACTTAAGGTCAATGGCCTTACGAGTCCAAAAAGCTGTGTGTGTCTGCGTACGTGTGTGTGTGTGTGTGTGTGCCCATGCGTGTGTTGCTGCTAGAATGAATCTATTACTGCTGGCCTGAGTCTAGTAGTCTGGGTAGGCACATAAATGGACAATATAAAATATGAGACTTAACGTACTTCAGAAAGCCATAATAAACTGAAAGTCAGCGTTAGGCAGCTGTCATTACAATCCAATAGAGATTCTCTACCAGTGAACACCTGCCTTCTTTAAGTTCTTTCTGAGATATCTACACACGTGTACCCAGCTAATGCCTGCCTTCATAGGCTGCGTTTACACAGGCAGCCCAATTCTGATCTTTTCCCACTAATTGGTATTTTGACCAATCAGATCAGCTCTATTGTCAATAATTGGCCAAAGTTCAGATTTGGGCTGCCTGTGTAAACGCAGCCTTATACTCAGCTAACATGTGCCTTCGTAAGGCTCAGGGGGAGACCCAAGTGGCACCCTATTCCCTATGTAGTGCACTACTTTAGACCAGGGGCCATAGGGCTCTGCTGGGTCAAAAGTAGTGAACTATATAGGGAATAGGGTGCCACTTGTGTCTAACGTCCTTACCTTCTGATCATGGCCATATTCAGTGTTTGCCATGTTTAAAGGGGCAATCTGCGATTGCTACATCCATTTTTGTGCTTTTAAATTCATGACATATAGCCATTGATCCTTGAAGAATATAACTTACAAATGCTTAGTCTAACTGTGTAACCCACATCAGAACCCAAAATATAAGCTTGTTTGACTCCAGTGTTAGTAAACAATGTTAATTTAAACACTGTATAGCCTCATAACATGGTTCAAACTATAATGTTGATATCATGGATGGTCAGTCCTTGTCTTTTGAATTTGAGAATGGTTCCATTCCTCACAGAAAACAGTGGCGGCCGCTTCATCGTTGTTTGAACTGCAGATGTCCCTTTAAGGGCACGGAAATCGGTGGCCATTTTGTTTGACTATAATGTGATGGAAGAACCGATACAGGTCTTCTAGGGCTTGTCTATTTCTTACATGACTGCATCCCAAATGGCACCCTATTCCCTATATAGTGCACTACTTTTGATCTTAGCCCAATAGAGAATAGGGTGCCATTGTAGCTGTGCTTGTGAGACACTACACTGCACTTTACTGTAGTGTCTAGTAGTCTGTTTTGTCTTGTCTTGGGTTGGGTTGGGGGGGGGGGGGGGAGAATTATGAATTTGATATGAATAAATGTTTGTATAAAAAAAGTGACTATTGGGATGTATTAATTTGTGTGTGAATTTGTAAAGCATAGTGTTTGTATGTGTTAATCACTCAAACAATATACATTTATTTTGTCTTTATTCAAAACACATTACATTGGGAGACCTGAGATGCAACATTACCTCCACTATAATACACTCAACAATGTGTGTATTACAACATTACACAGAAATGCTTGTAAGACATACCAAATATAGTGTGTTGATCTAATCAATGACAGCAGATCAGAGATCTAGTCTGTGGAGGTAGGGGATCTAGTCTGTGTTGGGTGATCTCGTGTGTCGGATGATCTGGGCTGGGCTGCAGGGCGACTTCATCTCTGTGTTGTTGCTTTTGGATCTCTCAGTGGATCCTGTCCTCCGGACCTGGACTAGTGGCCTGTCCTTCGTGATGTGGTAGCTTCCATTGGATCTGGTGTTGGTGATCTGCTTTGGAACAGTGGATCCAGTCTGTGGGATCTTGCCCTTTCCCTTTCCGGTGGATTTAGTCTTTGGGATCCGGACCATCTTTTGAGCGGATCCGGTATTTGACGTTTTGTCAGGGGATCTTGCCTCTTGGTTCTGGTCAGTGGTTGGGATCTTGGGAGATTCGGTCATTGGGATGTGAGCTTTGACAGGGGATCCGGTTTCTGTCAGCTTGCTGTCATCAGTGGATCTAGTCCCGGAATCCTCTCCCCCATTGGATGATCCGTCGTGTGGGATCTGGTCTCCATCGTCCTCCCCAGGGATAGGATCTAGCTCTACCTCCACACACACTCTCTGGGGTAACACCACCAGCCAGCACTTAGAACAGCTGCTCTCGAAGTACGGGTACAGCGTCTCTGTGAAGCGGTGAGTAAAGGTGAACAGGAGTTTGTCCCTCATCGCGTCCCAGAATTCCACCTGACCCTCCTCCCAGTCCAGTAACACCTAAAGATAACATAAAACGTCATTGTCCTAGGCCACTAAATGGAAATTGGTTATTTGAAATGAAGTTGACATTTTTTCTTGTGTGTCCCCTCCAGGCTAGGAGATGATGGACTTTTCTGTAACAAATGATCAATTAAGAAAAAAGGACATCTGTTGTTGGCGCTCTGGTTTACAGGGTAAAACTACAGCAACAGGCAGAAACAGGACATCTGTTGTTGGCGCTCTGGTTTACAGGGTAAAACTACAGCAACAGGCAGAAACAGGACATCTGTTGTTGGCGCTCTGGTTTACAGGGTAAAACTACAGCAACAGACAGAAACAGGACATCTGTTGTTGGCGCTCTGGTTTACAGGGTAAAACTACAGCAACAGACAGAAACAGGACATCTGTTGTTGGCGCTCTGGTTTACAGGGTAAAACTACAGCAACAGGCAGAAACAGGCAGAAGACTAAGTTAGACACACAGGGTCAACAGTTCATTAAGTAAATCTATTTTATTATATTCTAATACTTGTGGATGTGCCTCTCCACCCCCTCAAGTGCACCCTCTATCTAACTATGGCCCCACCTTGATCCTGTGAAAGGGGCGGGACAAGTCCAGAGGGAGGGTGGTACAGGGTGTGGTCATGGCACGGTACGTTCCGTTCCGTAGGCTGAGGGTCCATAGCCCCTCCTCCGGACACTCCTCAAACTCCTCCCTCCTACGCACCGATTGGCTGGCCACACCAATTGTCCAGTTGCTGCTCTCGCCAACCTTGAAGCAGGATATAATTGTTATTATTAATAGTATTATTATACTCATGTATATTTAAAATTATATTTTGAATTGTAATGACAAACGTAACAGCCCTGATACCTGCACACTGTTGAATATTCCTCCTATTGCATCAATAAAACTGCAAGAACCTCCATCAGTGTGCGTGTATGGACCCTGGTCAAATGTAGTGCACCAAATAGTGAATAGTGTGCCATTTGGGATGCATCCTCAGTCATTAAGTGCCCCACCTCCACGGTCCAGCAGTGGGTGCCGGCGCTGAATCCTTCCCAGCCCAGAGTGCAGGCGTGCGGGTCGAATCTCTCCGGGTTAGCAGGCTGGATCTGGATCATCTCCTTGCCCAGCTGGACAGAGGTTAGCCCAGGGGAGAGGACCAGAGACGGGCAGGACGTGGTCGGGTCCAGGGTTACTGGAGCTGGAAGGGGAGGGGTTGGGGGAAGAAGTGGTGTGGGGGAGGAGGTGTGTGGGGGGGGGGGGGGAAGAGATGGGGACATGGGGAGGGAAAGTGAGAGGGGGAGATAGGACACATGCACACACACTCACACACACCACTCCGCCTCTCCCCCCAGACTCACTGTAGGGGGCTATGTGCAGCATGTTGTTCCAGACGGTGTATCGGAGGTTGGCCAGGTGTTTGGACGGGTCTATCAGAGGACCACACACCTTCTCTGGCTCCCCATGACTCTGCCACATCCTACACACCACACACACCACACACACACACACACACGCTCTATTCTGTTACAGGGCTCAGTGTGCTTGTGTGTCTGTGTTTTTATTTTATTTATTTTTTATTTAACCTTTATTTAACCAGGTAAGCCAGTTGAGAACAAGTTCTCATTTACAACTGCGACCTGGCCAAGATAAAGCAAAGCAGTGCGATAAAAACAACAACACAGAGTTACATATGGGGTAAAACAAAACATAAAGTCAAAAAACACAACAGAAAATATATATACAGTGTGTGCAAATGTAGCAAGTTATGGAGGTAAGGCAATAAATAGGCTATAGTGCAAAATAATTACAATTAGTATTAACACTGGAATGCTAGATGTGCAAATAGAGATACTGGGGTGCAAAAGAGCAAAAATAAATAACAATATAGGGATGAGGTAGTTGGGTGGGCTAATTTCAGATGGGCTGTGTACAGGTGCAGTGATCGGTAAGGTGCTCTGACAACTGATGCTTAAAGTTAGTGAGGGAGATAGGAGTCTCCAGTTTCAGAGATTTTTGCAATTCGTTCCAGTCAATGGCAGCAGAGAACTGGAAGGAATGGCGGCCAAAGGAGGTGTTGGCTTTGGGAATGACCAGTGAGATATACCTGCTGGAGCGCAGACTACGGGTGGGTGCTGCTATGGTGACCAATGAGCTAAGATAAGGCGGGGATTTGCCTAGCAGTGATTTATAGATGGCCTGGAGCCAGTGGGTTTGACGACGAACATGTAGTGAGGACCAGCCAACAAGAGCGTACAGGTCACAGTGGTGGGTAGTGTATGGGGCTTTGGAGACAAAACGGATGGCACTGTGATAGACTACATCCAATTTGCTGAGTAGAGTGTTGGAGGCTATTTTGTAAATGACATCGCCGAAGTCAAGGATCGGTAGGATAGTCAGTTTTACGAGGGCATGTTTGGCAGCATGAGTGAAGGAGGCTTTGTTGCGAAATAGGAAGCCGATTCTAGATTTAACTTTGGATTGGAGATTCTTAATGTGAGTCTGGAAGGAGAGTTTACAGTCTAACCAGACACCTAGGTATTTGTAGTTGTCCACATACTCTAGGTCAGACCCGTCGAGAGTGGTGATTCTAGTCGGGTGGGCGGGTGCCAGCAGCGTTCGATTGAAGAGCATGCATTTAGTTTACTAGTGTTTAAGAGCAGTTGGAGGCTACTGAAGGAGTGTTGTATGGCATTGAAGCTCGTTTGGAGGTTTGTTAACACAGTGTCCAATGAAGGATGTGTGTGTCTGTGTGTCTGTGTGTGTCTGTGTCTCTGTGTGTGTGTGTGTCTGTGTCTGTGTGTGTCTGTGTGAGTGTGTGTTTGTCAAAAGGAAAATGAAAGAGGCATACAGAGAGAGAGAGAAATAGACAGAGATAAATAGAGAGATAGAGTCTGCATACCTCTTTACTGTCTCCTGGTAATTCTGTAAGACAAAAGCAATGTCTTATTATCACAATTATGCCAATGCACAGTATGCCATCACACACACACACACACACACACACACACACACACACACACACACACACACACCTGCAGAAAGGTGATGTCATCCCCCTCTTCCTTGATCTCCTCCTCGATCTCTCGGATGGTTTTAGCCAGGAACTCCATCTCTTTTCTCATTCTTTCTCTCTTCTCCTTCATCCCTTTCTTCCTCTCCTCCTCTTCCTCCCTCAGCCTGGCTAGCCTGGCCTCCTCCTCCTCTCTCAGGAACTGGTGCAGCTGTTTAAACTCCTCCTTGATCTGCCTCTCTGTCTGCTGGGCGTGGCTCTGGGGAGGGAGGGAGGAATGGAGGGGGGAGGCAGGGAGAGGGAGGGAGGGAGGAAGCAGGGAGAGGGAGGGAGGAGTGGAGGAATGGAGGGGGAGGCAGGGAGAGGGAGGGAGGAGTGGAGGAAAGGAGGGGGAGGCAGGGAGAGGGAGGACACATTGTTGAGAGGTGCACAAATGTGATAACTTTTTGACAGCTGCATTTGTGGCAACTCATGTAAAAAGGGCTTTATAAATACATTGATTGTTTAATTTTGATTGATTAATTGACAGACCGACAATGCAAGTCGTACCTGGTTGTGTTGGGAGGCGTGTTCAAAGATCCGCGTAACCTTCTCAAACCTCCTGCTCTTCCCTAGCAGCTTACCCAGTGAAGAGTTCAGCTCCCCCTGGTGGGCAGCAGGAAGAATGACAACGAGCGTATCACAATACAATACATGTATAAATTTTTTTCGTTCTTTATTTTTGTGTCCATAAAAGCCCATATAGGGACTGGTGTTGAACATTTGCTAGTAATACTAAAGCGCAATGCATCGGACGATTTTTTGTGCAACGTGTCAATGTGTTTGTACTTGTCCCTGTCCAAATAAACCAAAAAAAAAAAAAAGTGATTGATTATGATAAACGCTTTATCTGCCTCCCCAATGCAAACTAGTTTAAAAATGTGAACATATATTTTGTGGAAAATATATGTTTTGGTACGTTTCTGAACGACGCACCATACCCAGGGGAGAACTACTCCCTCTCATTGAAGCCACGGAAGTTCGACCGCGGCACCGCAGACATTGTTAGCAGAAAACAGGATCCTCCATTATAGTGAATGGGGAAATAGCAATCTTCATGGTCAATCCCCCCCCACCAAAAAAAATAAAAATTGAGGACAATCATGGTACCAATAATTGCTTCTAATACACCAGATGTATGTCCTTGAACCGACTATTTTAAAATCGTACACATAAGAAGTTATAAGGATCTTTTGGTTGATACTGGAAGCCTGCAGTACCCCGGTCGACCTTCAACTTGAGTTACTCAGAGGGGGCAGCACTGAGCTAGCCTGCAACGTCACTTCCTGGAGTAGCAAACTGCACATGTTATGTCTCCATGAAATGCCATCTTAACTGACTTCATTTGGCTTCAATGTGCTATTGACTCTTCCCATAGGAATGAATGGTGTCACTCGATGGCTTTGCCCATTCTTTTTACAGTCATTGACCCATGCTGGATTGTTGACAATATGACAGAGCTGCACAGACTACCATACGATTTGAGCAGGGGGCGCCTCCCTCACCGGGTTCGCCCGGTCACTTGACAGGCCATATTCAATATTGGCAGTACAGTATTGCGTTTCTAAACCATTTCTGTACCAGTGACTGGCGAGACAGGGTCCTCCTCCTCTTGTTTAACCAGCTCATGTTTAAAACATATACAATATGTAAAAACATCACTGGAGATCAGTGGAGGCTGGTGGGAGGAGCTATAGGAGGACGGGCTCATTGTAATGGCTAGAATGGAATAAATGGAACGGCATCAAACATATGGAAACCACGTGTTAGACTCCGTTCCAATTATTCCAGTCCAGCCATTACAATGGGCCCGTCCTCCTATAGCTCTCCCCACCAGCCTCCACTGCTGGAGCTACAACTCACCACTATCACTGTGCCTCTGCTCTACTTATTTTGTTTGCCTCCCTGTTGTGGCGTCTACCTGTCTCAGCATCTTCTCTGCTGTCACTCTGTGCTTCTTCTTGTTCTGCCTGTATGTTATAAAAGTCACGCTAATGACATAGGCTATATTGCCAATGAGTGCCAGTTATGTGTTCCCCTGAATCAACGCCTCCCCTAAGTGTTATCCTCCTAGAGTCTAAGCCGGGGAGAAACTATTTGATTAAACGTTGAATTTGGCCTTACTGCTATTAGCCCATAGAAATACATTGAATTCATACAGACAGTCCCCCACAAAAAAATCTAACAGAAGTTTGTTTTGAAGTGTCTGTCCTATATCTGAGAGATATAAGAGATATCTAACAGAAGTTTGTTTTGAAGTGAGTTTTGAGTGTATGTACCGATATGCTGAGATAAGAGATATCAGGATTTTTTAAAAACACATATTTACCCCCTTTTTTAGGCACTAAACTACTTCCATGTATACTTCCATTCATTTTTTTAAACTGGTACTGGGGTACCTTCAGACGAGTCTTGTGAGGCTTGTCGCCGTCCCAGAGCGAAACAACCGTCATGTACGTGTCCGTGAGTCTCACCTTTCCATTGAAGGGTCATATTACTATATAGCCCAAACTGTTCGGACGCTAAAGACAGAAGTTGGCAGATTGGCGGCACCGACCTCAGACGAGTTCCCCATCAAAATCTGTCTGTTTAAGCTACAGATATCCGTTTTTTTTTAATGGGCTGCGTCTCAATCCACCCCATCCGCCTATGTCAGCCTTCAGCATCTGTGGTGAAAGGTGGCCGAGCTACAGCAGTGCTTGTCAGAACCAGGAGACATCCCGAAAATCGTGAGAAGACAGAAAACGTGAGAACTATGAACTAATACGACCACTTTATGGAAAGATTGACCACTCTATGCTCTACGACCCCCACAAGCCCCACGGGAACTCGTCTGAAGTCGGTACCATCGATGTGCCAACTTCGGTCTGTAGCATCCAAACCATTTGGGCTCCAGACTAATATGACCCCACCAGTGTCATGGGAGTCGTCTAAAGGTAACCCAATACCGGTTTTAAAAATGTATGGTAGTTTTGTGGCAACAAAAAAAAAGGTGTTAAATGTGTCCCACATTTTTTTGCTCCTAGATATAGGACAGACACTTCAAAACCTTATTCATTATGATGTCATTTTGGACTGTCTTTTTTGCCATTTAAAATGTGTTATTCAATGTGTTTCTATGGGCTTTTGTAGCAAAGGACAAATTCCATATTTTATCAAGTAATCTTTGCATATATATTTTTTTATATATATACCTACAGGGGTCCTACAATTCCAAATCAAATAGCTATTTGATCCATGGTGTGACCATCTTAACACAATTCCATATGTTAGTTTAGTAGAACCCCAGGTGGGTGGAGATTTCACTTAAGGACCAATGGAATGGTCTAAAATGTACTAACTCCACCCATCCAGGGCACCAGGCCATGCAGAACCAACTCGCCACTGTAAGACTCTGCTTACTACTGGATACGGAGTGGCTGCCCAGAGGTGGACAATTTAAATCATGTGCCGTCTATCAAATCGTGTGGTACTTCACTTGAGAAGCAAAATAACAGTTGTAGCCTAGGTTACACAGACTGTTTTTCCCCCCAATGCAAAACTCATGCCAGGTGGGGAGTTACATGCAGCTATCTCGGCAGCATATTCCACACAAGCAAGACACAGACAGGCAGTCTACACAGCAATTTAATGTTCTGATTTCAGCATCATTACAAACACTGGCTAAGCAGGGGACAGACAAGCAGTCAAAATAGTAGTGTTCTTTTTCAGCATCTCAGGCTAAGATATGACACCATTACTATAAAGATTACATAATCACAAAGGTAAACGTGTGGTTAAAACGCAGATTATTTTGCCCCAATGCAACGCCCTGCTTCTGCAATATCCTTAGTTACACCAGACAGAGAAGGTTGTAGCCTTCTGCTACTGTAATATCCTTAGTTACGACAGAGAGAAGGTTGTAGCCTTCTGCTACTGTAATATCCTTAGTTACAACAGTCAGAGAAGGTTGTAGCCTTCTGCTACTGTAATATCCTTAGTTACAACAGTCAGAGAAGGTTGTAGCCTTCTGCTACTGTAATATCCTTAGTTACAACAGACAGAGAAGGTTGTAGCCTTCTGCTACTGTAATATCCTTAGTTGCAACAGTCAGAGAAGGTTGTAGCCTTCTGCTACTGTAATATCCTTAGTTACAACAGTCAGAGAAGGTTGTAGCCTTCTGCTACTGTAATATCCTTAGTTACAACAGACAGAGAAGGTTGTAGCCTTCTGCTACTGTAATATCCTTAGTTACAACAGTCAGAGAAGGTTGTAGCCTTTTGCTACTGTAATATCCTTAGTTACAACAGACAGAGAAGGTTGTAGCCTTCTGCTACTGTAATATCCTTAGTTACAACAGACAGAGAAGGTTGTATACTTCTTCTACTGTAATATCCTTAGTTACAACAGACAGAGAAGGTTGTATACTTCTTCTACTGTAATATCCTTAGTTACAACAGACAGAGAAGGTTGTAGCCTTCTGCTACTGTAATATCCTTAGTTACAACAGTCAGAGAAAGTTGTATACTTCTTCTACTGTAATATCCTTAGTTACAACAGTCAGAGAAGGTTGTATACTTCTTCTACTGTAATATCCTTAGTTACAACAGTCAGAGAAGGTTGTAGCCTTTTGCTACTGTAATATCCTTAGTTACAACAGACAGAGAAGGTTGTAGCCTTCTGCTACTGTAATATCCTTAGTTACAACAGTCAGAGAAGGTTGTAGCCTTTATCCTTTATAGGCTTCTAACTGACGACAGTCTATATTGGCTGTCTAACTGACGACAGTCTATATTGGCTGTCTAACTGACGACAGTCTATATTGGCTGTCTAACTGACGACAGTCTATATTGGCTGTCTAACTGACGACAGTCTATATTGGCTGTCTAACTGACGACAGTCTATATTGGCTGTCTAACTGACGACAGTCTATATTGGCTGTCTAACTGACGACAGTCTATATTGGCTGTCTAACTGACGACAGTCTATATTGGCTGTCTAACTGATGACAGTCTATATTGGCTGTCTAACTGATGACAGTCTATATTGGCTGTCTAACTGATGACAGTCTATATTGGCTGTCTAACTGATGACAGTCGGAGCACATCTCTTTGCTGATGGCGCGTTTGACTTTGAATGTGAGTTTGACCTCAGCTCAGCCTATCAGAAAATGGGCCAGCCCAACTTGGTAGGGGGGCCAGCTGTTGCCCACTGATCGAGAAGGGTCCATTGCACTGATCAGCCAAAGGCTCATTAGTATAACTGAGAAATTGCGCAAAAATTGTTAAAATATGTGTGTATTAACAGGTCCATGGGCCACAGGCCATGTCACCCTTTTCATTTTTGTATTTTTATATAAAAACAATATACATGTGTGTGTCAATTTCAACCAGCCCACCCAACAAAATAAATCTGGCTTCTATCCTGTATGTGTTATTTCATGCTCTTTCAGGTTCCCTAACTGACTAATGTCTTCTCCTCCAGTGTGTGTATTGTCTCATGCTTTTTCAGGTTCCCTAACCGGGTAAATGTCTTTTCACACTGAGAGCAGTGGTAGGTCTTTTTTTCTGTGTGTGTTCTCTCGTGATATTTAAAGCCCCCTAACTGGGTAAAAGTCTTTCCACACAGGGAGCACTGGTAGGGCTTTTCTCCTGTGTGTGTCCTCTCGTGTGTTTTCAGGTTCCATAACCAGGTAAAACCCTTTCCACACTGGGAGCATTGGAAAGGCTTCTCTCCTGTGTGTGTCCTCTCATGCTCTTTCAGATGGGATGACTGGTTAAATTTCTTTTCACAATGAGAGCATTGGAAAGGCTTTTCTCCTGTGTGCGTCCTCTCATGCTCTTTCAGCTTTGATAACCATTTAAAACTCTTTCCGCACTGGGAGCAGTGGTTTGTCTTCTCTTCCTGTGTGCGTATTCTCTCATTATTTTTCAGGTTCCCTAACTGGGTAAATGTCTTTCCATTCTGAGAGCAGTGGTAGGCATTTTTTTCTCTGTGTGTCCGCTCATGATATTGAAAGCCCCCTAACTGGGTAAAAGTCTTTCCACAAATGGCACATTGGTAGGGCTTTTCTCCAGTGTGTGTTCTCTCATGCTCTTTCAGCTTTGATAACCAGGTGAAACTCTTTCCACAGTGGGAGCAGTGGTGTGGTCTCACTGGTTTAGGCGTCTCTGGGTCTGGTTCCCCTGAAGGACACTTCCCACTGTCAGAGGGAGAGTCTGGCCTCTCTCCTGCCAAAGACAAACAGAGTATTTAGTTAAACAGAAATGAAACCGCCACATTATTAAACTATCTTCCTATGAGGTTTAATCCAGACTAGATCCCAAATGGTAAATTTGGATCCTGGATGCTGATTGGTTGATAGCCGTTAGTTATTCACAATAATCCACAGGTAATGCCTGTTAAAGGGATATTATTTCGGGATTTTCACAATATCTACTTCCCCGGAGTCAGATGAACTCATGGATACCATTGTTTTGTCTATGCGTGCAGTCTGAAGGAAGTTGCTAACTAGCCCTAGCAGAATTGCTAACTAGTGTTAGCATAATGACTGGAAGTCTATGGTATCTGCTAACATGATTGCAGAAACTACCTCCAACTTCCTTCATACTTGACACAGAGACATAAAAATTGTATTCACAAGTTCATCTGACTCTGGGGAAGTAGATATTGATAACACAATTGAGATTTTAAAAAACAAATTATTTAAATAATGTTTTAAAAAATAATAATTTTGCTCTCATGGGCAAACAACTGCAGAGTTTGAGCCCCTGTTAAAGTGTGTACACCATTGATAAAGATGAAGAAAAATGACTGTCTATAATAAATAATTACAATTCTGAGCTCTATTGTCTGCTCCAAAAAATTGGGAAATTATATTATTTTACACTATTACAATTGATTTTGTTTAACAAGTAATAAAACGTTCTCAAAAAGGAAGGGGTCAAAATTATGGACATCTTGGTTTTCAATTCCTGAAATGGACTCCTCTGTTCTCAATACCACTGGTGTGCATGGCCAAAGAGCTCTATTTTAACGTAATCTGGCCAAAGCACCGGTTCCAATTCAAGTGCCAATGCTGGTTAGAAAACTCCAGGCCTTTACATGTATTGGATGACATGAAAATAGAGCCTTTTGACCGCGCACACCAGTGGTGGGTTTGGCGTCGAAATGAGAATGCATGAGCAGAAAATAACCCCATCCCTTCTGTAAAATATGGTGGTGGATCTTTGATGTTATGGGGCTGTTTTGCTTCCACTGGTCCTGGGGCCCTTGTTAAGGTCAACGGTATCATGAACTTTACCCAGTACCAAGATATTTGAGCCAAAAACCTGGTTGCCAGGAGGCTGACACTTGGCCGCAAGTGGATCTTCCTGCAAGACAATAACCCCAAGCACACATCAAAATCCATAAAGAAATTGATAACTGGCCACAAAATCAACATTTTGCAATGGCCATCTCAATGACTTGAAACCCATTTGAAAAGCTGTGGTTTGAATTGAAAAGGGCAGTCCATAAGAGATAAAAAGATTTCAAAGATCTGGAAGGATTCTGTATGGAGGAATAGTCTAAGATCCCTCACAACGTGCTCGCCAACACTTTATAGAAACACATGGCTCAGTGCCGTTATTCTCACAAGGTGAAGTATTGAAAGGTAATGAAAACAGAGGTGTCCATCATTTTGACCCCTAACTTTTTGCGAATAAAATGAACACTACCTTTGAGAAATCACTTTCTCTGAGCAATTGTATAAAATAATTCCTCCATTTTGTGAGCATACACTATAGGCTAGCTCAGTATTTGAATAATGTATTGTTTTCTTGATCTTTATCAACCGTCAAGGCCTTAATCATGACTCTCAGTTCCATTACATTACACATCATTCCATTGTTTTACTTTTAGATTTGTGTGTATTGTTGTGAATTGTTAGATACTACTGCACTGTTGGCGCTAGGAACACAAGCATTTCACTACACCCGCAATAACATTTGCTAAATGTGTGTATGTGACCAATAACATTTTATTTTATTTGATAAAGAATCATTGGACGAAGGCGTCTTCTGTATGGGGGAGTTTTGTTAAGAGCCCCGACGCTCGGTCTGAACATTAACAAGCATCACTTGAGGTACGGTTTTGGAAGCATAAGGACCTTATTTTTCATATCAGCAAGAAATTATATATATAATATATTTTTTAAAGGTTCCATTGACACACCTTTATAGGGTTAGGGTTCCCACACGGCCATCGCCATGTTACAGCACGTGGTCACAGATAACAGACGGAAGACAGAGTCGACTACTTGTGCTAATTAGCCTACCGTGTCTCCTAACACCTGTGTGTGAACAGAAGACGGACGCCACAAACGTGTTGTCACTGAAAAAGACTGTTGGCTGCAACTGTTTAAACTACAGAGATAGACGGAGGACTCATCTTTGTATCCTGTGCCATTATAGCGTCTGTGACAGCATTGGGCAGCACCATTGAGGCTATATCCATTTGTGAAGTAGTCCCATTTTCTTCTTCACATTGGCTGAATCCCCCTGATGACCCGGTTGGACATGGACCTCCATTCTCTGCTCGCCAATGACTGAACGAATGCAAAAATCTCTGAAGCTGAGACTCTTATCCCCCAATAACTTTAAAGCATCAGTTTGTCAGAGCACTCTTACCGATCACTGCACACCTGTACACGCCCATCTGACATTAGCCCACCCAACTACCACCTCAATCCCCTATATTGTTATTTATTTTGCTCTTTTGCACCCCAGTACTCTATTTTGCACATAAATCTCTTGCACGTCTAGCATTCCATGTGTTAAGAACTATTGTAATTATTTTGCACTATAGCCTATTTATTGCCTTACCTCCATAACTTGCTACATTTGCACACACTGTATATATATTTTCTGTTGTATTTTGACTTTATGTTTTTTACCCCATATGTAACTCTGTGTTGTTTTTTATGCACTGCTTTGCTTATCTTGGCCAGGTCGCAGTTGTAAATGAGAACCTGTTCTCAACTGGCTTACCTGGTTAAATAAAGGTTAAATAAATAAATAAATGACTCCAACTGGGTCACCAGGAGGGCTCAGCCAATGAAGTTGGAAATCCCACCCAGTTGACTACATTAAAAATGGTGGAAGCCGTCAATGGCGCTATCCATGCTAATACAGCCTTTTGGCCACTAGAGGCCTCTATCGCGCTCTATGGTTAAAACAGTGTACAGCAGTGGAGGCTGGTGGGAGGAGCTATAGGAGAACCGGCTCATTGTAATGGCTGGAATGGAATTAATGGAACAGCGCCAAACGTGGGTTCCATACGTTTGATTCCGTTCCATTAATTCCATTCCAGCCATTACAATGAGCCTGTCCTCCTATAGCTCCTCCCACCAGCCTCTTCTGGTGTACAGTAAGTGTATATTTTGCATTTGTGAAATGATTTTGATGTGATATGAAAGTAAAGGGATTTATGTTTCTAGAACCGTACAGAAATTGAGTGCCGATTCACGTTTAGATGGCGTTTTTGGCTGTTTTGGCTGCCAGAGCCAATTCGCCTCTAAACAGAACATTAAAGGTCAGGCTCCTTTAGCTCATTATTGGGCTATCACTCCACTAGGTAACTTTACTTACCGGTGTTAATCACATCTCCTGTCTTTTCTTCTTCGTCTTCCAATGTGACAGTAACCTCCCCCTGCTCCTTCACTCCAAAAACGACATCCTCCTCTTTCTCATCCCCCTCCTTCTCTTTCACTTCTTTAACTCCTTTCACTGTGACGTCCTCCTCTTCCTCCTCTTCTTTCACGACAATATTAAGCCACAGACCCTCTTTCTCCGTCCAGCAGACCTCCTGTTCTTTAGCAGTGGGGGAGTAGCTTAGTGAGCTCATGGTCGTGGATGTTAGCTAGCTAGTTAGCATAAACAACTAGCCTAGTGCTAACTTAACCAGCCAGCTAGATGACTAACAACGTAAATACGAAATTAAACAGGGTAACTAGTAGATACGACAGACCTGTGTTTAAATTACAGCGACTTCCCATACACCGAAACCGTCTAAAGAGCTGCTATGTTGGCTAGCAAGCTACGGAGGTGCCTGACCAGCTTCTTCTACTTCTTCGGGGATTTATAGGCGGTTGGCATCCAACGTTAATGGTGCATTACCGCCACCTACTGTACTGGAGTGTGGTCCAGAGACGGGAGGAATTAAATCCTGCCGGCCCTTTACAAATAAATAAAAGATTGGAGACTGTATATAATTATGTTCTACTTAGTATGCTCTTTAAACAGTGGTTTAGTGACAACTTTTTTAGTTGCCAGCGCACAAAAAAATAAAGAAATAGTGTCATAATTTTTGTATCAAAGTTTGCACCATAGCCTATTGAATAATATAATTTTATATCATCCTATGCCTACACACATTGACTTGAAGAAATGTTTGTATTTTTAATACCCTCAAATACCAAATTAGGTCTACCTAATTTCGTAATAGGCCATCATCATTGTCAATCGTGAATGATATTCTCTATGATCTGTGATTTTAAAAAAAAATGCTTCTCTGTGACATCACAGGGTAGGATTACATCACAGTATGAAAATATATACACTCACTAACTGTAAGTCGCTCTGGATAAGAGCGTCTGCTAAATGACTAAAATGTAAATGTAAATGTAAATGATTAAAAGTAAGAAAAACAGTGATTTTCAAAACCTGCAAAGAGTTTCTAGCCAGAGGGAGGGTATTCTCCTACTTCCCCAGGTCACCACGAATCTCAGAGTGTTTGAAAATCACTGTTTTTAAAATGGTTTAAACTATTGATGATGTCATCAATAGACATTTCTTACTTTATTTTTTTTCTTCTGCAAAACGTAGAAATGTGCCGTTTTCACATATGTAGACACTGGTATTGCGCTGGAGATAATGAAAATGAGGTTGCAAAGTGGTGGAATTGCACTCAAAAACTATCTACTGAAGAACTTTCAAAATGCAAAAAGTGTCACAGTATGATCCGTTTTGCTTCACACATTTAGAAAGTTCTTGACGACTTGATTGATGACATGCAAAACATTTTGGGACTGTATCAACAGTGGACTAATGAAACAAATACCAAAATATCGTTTTTGAGTTGTATTTTTCTTTAAGGCCCCCACACTGGCCCATTTTATTTATTTATTTTTACCTTGAAGCCTTTTTTGTGAACCCCCCATTATTACCCAGATAATGATAATTTTGCTAAAAAACGAACAAGTTAAACTGGCCCACTGGGCTAAAAGTGGACCAACCTATCTGGTATTTGCCCGAATTGCCAGATGGCCAGTCCACCCCTGCTTGTGTGTCTGTGTGGCCTCATGGACTAGGTCATGTTACTCTATGTCAGTAAGGTGTCAAGCACATGGAGACAGGAACCAAAATAACACTTCATGAGTCAAACATCTACAGGTGTAGGATCTTAATTTCATAACTCTTTTGTTGCTGAGAATTTTCCTGCACCACAGGAAATGCAGATGAGCTTAATGATTTACATAAATTCACTTAAAACCTGCACATACACAGGGTTATATTAACAGTATCACACTTTTCATGTAGCCTAATTTTGGCCAGCTAATAGCCAAACCACCGATCAAGCAACATTATGGACTGAATGTTAAAACCTGTCTCTCAGACTAACTTCTGTCTATCTATCTATCTGTCTGTTTTTCTGTCTGTTTTTCTGCCTTTCTGTCTGTCTGTCTGCCTGTCTGTCCGTCCGTCCGTTAGTCTGTCTCCTACCTTACAGTCAGGTACAGCCTCCGTTATGGGGTAGACTCTGTGCCCCTCGTGGGTCTCAGTCGGTCCACACTGACTGCACACCGGCTCCAGGTCATCCACACAGAACAGGGTAAACTTCTCTCCATGCTCCCGGCACAGCTCTGGATCTCCAGGGGGAAGGACGGAATCCTCTGCCCCAGGGAGAAGGGCCTTGAGCGAGGTGGAATCCCCTGAGAGGGACCCTAAGGCTGGAGCTTCTAGTCTGAGAGCCATCATGGATTCTTTTTCTGAGCAAGAGTGGAAGAAGGTAGCGAGAGGAATGAAAAGAGGGGAGGAGAGAAAGAGAGAGAGGGAGAGAGTGGGAGGGAGAGAGAGAGTGGGAGGGAGAGGGGAGGGAAAGCAGTATGTGTGTATACGTTGCGTTGGTATTTTGTGTTCATGTGTGTTTGTGTGTGCGTATACATGTGTTTGTGTGTGTATGGGTGTGTGTGTGTGTTTGTGTGTGCATATACATGTGTCTGTGTGTGTATGGGTGTGTGTGTGTGTGTGTGTGTTTGTGTTTGAGTGTGTGTGTCTATATCAGTACCTGTGTACAACTCCATGAACTGAATGTAAGATGTATGTGTGCCATAGAGGTCAAATCCAGACGTGGGTTCTAATAGTATCTGAACTCTTTCAAATACTTTGAGCGTTTGCATTAGCCTACATGTGCCAGATGGGCGGGGTTTGACCTTTTTGGGACTATTCTATTGGTCCTTAACGCCAGGCAATCACAGATAAAGATGTTTTGAATCCAGAGTAGGTCAAGTTACAACCCCCCCCACCCCTTTTTTCTCCTCTCTCCCCCCCCCCACTCTCTCTCACTCCCTCCTCCTCTCTCTCCCCCTCCTCACTCCCACTTCTCCTCTCCTCTCTCTCCTCCCTCCCCTTCCCTTCACGCCCTCTCTCTCGTCTCTCTCTCTCTCTCTCATCATCTCCCTCACTCTCTCTTCCTCTCCCCCTCTTTCTCTCCCCCCCTCTCCTCTCTCTCTCCTATCTCTCTCCGCTTCTTCTCTCTCTCTCCTTCTCGTCTCCTCTCTCTCTCTCTCATCTCTCTTCTTCTCTCTCCCTCTCTCTCTCTCTCTCTCTCTCTCTCTCTTCTCTCTCTCTCTTCTCTCTCTCTCTCTCTCTCTCTATCTCTCTCTCTCTCTCTCTCTCTCTCTCTCTCTCTCTCTCTCTCTCTCTCACCAGACACACCAATCCCTAGGGCCCCAATCCTTACCACGTCAGTGGTTGGTATCTGTGGGTTGAATCCTAATTTAAGCAGTGCACATGGAAGCTATACCTCACATGCACACATAACTGGAGACTCAAACTGACACTAATGCTTGATTTAATGCTTGTTCAGGTTACGAGCAACTATACCTGGGTTCAAATAGTATTTCCTTTCTTTCAAATACTTTATCTGGGCTTGATTGAGCTTGCCTGACAGCAATGGAACTCACAGGCTAGCCTAAAAAGATTATGAACCCCGCCCATCTGGCATTCCAGCCAGGCTAAAGCAACCAATCAAAGTATTTGAAAGAAAGGAAATACTATTTGAACCCAGGTATGGTCGCTTGTAACCTGAACATACCCTTAAATCAAGCATGAGTGTCAGTCCGAGTCTCCTGTTATGTGTGCATGTGAGGTACAGCTTCCATGTGTGCTGCTTAAATTAGGATTCAACCCACAGATACCGGACGTGACTTCGTTGCAACAGAAAGTCTGTGCACTCAAATGGCACCCTATTCCCTATGTAGTGCACTACAGCGTATACGTATGTCTATACAGTAAGTGCTCTACAGTAAGTGCATTACTATACCATATACTTAAGATACAATTATCACATAATATTAATAATATATAAATGTAATGGTAATGTATTGTAATGTAATAGTAATGTACTAATATTATAATATCATATTTCACATAGATCGTTTTTTAAATGCTAGTTACAGGGTCACAGGTCACACACACATCATTGGCATAAAATGTAAAAAGAGAATAAAGTTATCCAGATTCACCCGACTGGCACGTTACGTTTACATTTCAGTCGTTAGTGGACGCTCCTATCTAGAGGGACTTTCAGTTCATTCATTCAACCTAAAGGAAAAATATTTCAGTGTTTTTTTTAACTAGTCCACTGTTGATTCAGCCCCAACATGTTTTGCATGTCAGCAGTCAAGTTTTCAAGATATAGGACATTTCAAGATTTAGGACTCCAGACCAAAGGACAAATTTCCACCGGTCTAATGTCCATTGCTCGTGTTTCTTGGCCCATGCATGTCTCTTCTTCGTATTGGTGTCCTTTAGTAGTGGTTTCTTTGCAGCAATTCGACCATGAAGGCCTGACTCACGCAGTCTCCTCTGAACAGTTGATGTTGAGATGTGTCTGCTACTTGAACTCTGTGAAGTATTTATTTGGGCTGCATTTTCTGAGGCTGGTAACTCTAATGAACTTATCCTCTGCAGCAGAGGTGACTTTGGGTCTTCCATTCCTGTGGCAGTCCTCATGAGAGCCAGTTTCATCATAGCGCTTGATAGTTTTTGCGACTGCACTTGAAGAAACTTTAAAAGTTCTTTACATTTTCCGTATTGACTGACCTTCATGTCTTAAAGTAACGATGGACTGTCATTCCTCTTTGCTTATTTGAGCTGTTCTTGCCATAATATGGACTTGGTCTTTTACCAAATAGGGCTATCTTCTGTATACCACCCCTACCTTGTCACAACACAACTGATTGGCTCAAACGCATTAAGAAGGAAATAAATTCCACAAATTAACTTTTAAGAAAGCACACCTGTTAATTGAAATGCATTCCAGGTGACTACCTCATGAAGCTGGTTGAGAGAATGCCAAGAGCGTGCAAAGCTGTCATGAAGGCAAACGGTGGCTATTTGAAGAATCTCAAATATAACATATATTTTGATTTGTTTAACACTTTGTTGGTTACTACATGATTCCATATGTGTTATATCATAGTTTTGATGTCTTCACTATTATTGTAGAAAATAGTACAAATAAAGAAAAACCCTTGAATGAGTAGGTGTTCTAAAACCTTTGACCGGTAGTGTACATATTCTAATATCTTATAATATCAAAAGCAGATAGTTAAGTACTAA